CAGCCAACGCAAACAAAGCAGCGAAAGCGGCGAAGCAGCGGTAGCGACGAAGCGGCGGTAGCAGTAAGGCAGCAGGAGCAGCGAAGCAGCGAAGCAACGGTAGCAGCGAGCAGCGAGAGAAGCAGAGTCAGCAACACCACCACAGATACAATTGTAGCAGAGATATGGGTCAACCATTGTAAGTCGAATAAGTATTTTGTAAGTGCAAACGATACCTATGTTCAGCAACTGGCATATGCGACGACGCAAATTACAATCCGAGCGAGTTGCGCGAACGTTACAAAGTTTAAGAACAATGAATTTTGGCTATTGAAGCAATAACACTGTTGTTAGAGTGTATACATTTAAATCCGTTTATTAAACAATTAAATTAGCATGAACGCTTTTGACCTTGTATTAGGTCCTTTTCAAATGCATTTCTACAATAAATAACGTATAAAAACAATTAATAGGATACAAATAACAAAAAAAATATACAAAAAAAGAATTAATTAAAAATCGCAGAAAATATAATATACAAAGTCACTTACAAATTATATTAGATAAAATAGGTCGCTCAATGTTGATCGTGGATATCCACACTAGCCATCCCGACCAACACTTTACAAAGGTGGAAATGCGACTGGGAAACAACGTGTGGGTTCTCTTCTCTCTCCGATTCTTGCAGACATTGTAATGCAAGATCTGGAAATATCCATTTTTGAATCTCTTTCCTTCCGTCCACCTTTACATGTAAGATACGTTGATGACATAGCTCTGACCAACACTTTACAAAGGTGGAAATGCGACTGGGAAACAACGTGTGGGTTCTCTTCTCTCTCCGATTCTTGCAGACATTGTAATGCAAGATCTGGAAATATCCATTTTTGAATCTCTTTCCTTCCGTCCACCTTTACATGTAAGATACGTTGATGACATAGCTCTCATGGTTCCTAAAGAGCAATTTGATGCTGTTTTAAATCTTTACAATACTTATCACCCACGACTTCAATTTACTTTGGAGGTGGGTAGTGACAGACTCAATTTTTTGGACATTACTATTATTAAAAATAATAACAAATTAATACATGACTGGTATCACAAGCCAACGTTTTCTGGTAGATACCTTAACTATTTTTCCAATCATCCTATATGTCAAAAAAGAGGCACGGTCATCAACCTCGTAGACAGGGCCTTCTTTTTATCACATCCGAAATTCCATTCAAAAAATTTTGACTTTATATTTAATTTATTAATTGACAATAATTATCCTACAGACTTCATATATGACAATTTCATAATTAGACTAAAACAGAATTTTTATAAAAACAATGACATAAGAAGGTTTTTGTCTAGCAAGAGTTCTAATGACATACAGCGTCACTGGTTTGTCTTACCTTATATCAACAAATTTTCCGAGAGATTTTCAAATATATTTCCTACTGACTCTCACACTCGTTTAGCTTATTATAACCTAGACAAACTGAAGAAATTCATCAACGTTCTTAAGGATCCTTTACCTCTTCTCTCACATCCTTCCGTGGTATATAAGATCAATTGCCGTAATTGTGAAGCCTCGTATGTAGGACAAACTGGCAGAATGTTACAGGCCAGAATTAAGGAGCATAAAAGTCACATCAATAGAAATTCCACTCAAAGATCTGTAATTACTGAACATAGACAGCAATATTTACATGATGTTGAGTGGGATAAGGTAGAAATTTTGGATTTTGAGAGATCATACAGAAAAAGGTTGGTATCAGAAATGCTACACATAAAAAGTCAAGTCAGCGGACTTAATTTACAGTGCGACACAGAAAATTTAGATAATGCCTATTTACCGTTTGTCGATAAGACATTGTAAATTGATATGTTTCTCGTTAAATTTGAATTCTATTTTTATACACACGTTGTTTCCCAGTCGCATTTCCACCTTTGTAAAGTGTTGGTCGGGATGGCTAGTGTGGATATCCACGATCAACATTGAGCGACCTATTTTATCTAATATAATTTGTAAGTGACTTTGTATATTATATTTTCTGCGATTTTTAATTAATTCTTTTTTTGTATATTTTTTTCATTATTTGTATCTTATTAATTGTTTTTATACGTTATTTATTGTAGAAATGCATTTTTAAAAAGGACCTAATACAAGGTCGAAAGCGTTCATGCTAATTTAATTGTTTAATAAACGGATTTAAATGTATACACTCTAACTACAGTGTTATTGCTTCAATAGCCAAAATTCATTGTTCTTTGGAAATTCTTGAAGCTTCATACAATCATCTTTACATGTTACAAAGTCTTTTGCCGGTTCGGGAACCGAGAACCGCGCCAGTAGCGTTATACCAGTAAGCGGAAATAAATAGGCGGGATTCGACAAGCAAAAAAAATCGGAATTTGGATCCAAACGTTATTGTAGAGAGAAAATATCCGTTCAATTTAGATAGTAATATTGCTGGACATTTACAAGGCGTAATAGATCGCGAAAGAGTAGGAAACGGTGAAACTCCGAGCAGTAGTATTTAACGGTTATCTTTAGTTTCATACAAAAGCGAATTGTTCAGAAATAACGCGATGGACGCGAAAAGGGTAGAGCAATTAGATGACGAGCAAGTAATAGTTCGGGCTCGCGAAAATGTCAAGCGGGAGATCGACAGAATGAAAAGCGATTTGGGCATAAGAGCTACCGCAGGACGTGGGGCCGCGGGGCCAAACAAGCGAGCACAAGACCCCGTGGACGTAATGCTGCGTCAGCTAACACATTTGTTTGAGCTAATGACTGCGCGCATGGATACGGTGACCCGCCACGTGAATGAACTACGCGAGCAACGCCGCAATACACGAGCGCACAGGGACGACAATCCGCCGGGCGTGTTAACGCGTTCGACGTAACATACGGACGAACAGCCGCAGACGTGCGTAATCAGACCGCACACTTGTATGGTTATATGACACTAAAAGAAGCGCGTGCTATGATACCGTCGTTCGGCGGGAAATTGCAGACACAGTTACGTGAATTCTTGAGCGCATATATGTACGCAATAAAAAGTATAAATCCGGTCGACGAAAGGACTTTGCTAGAAGCGATATTGTGTACTAAACTGAGAGGACAAGCATTGTTGGATTTCGAGACGCGAGATATTCATAACTTCGAACAATTAAAGCACGAAATAAAAAATACGTATTCACCTAAAAAGGGCACAACCAAATTGCAAATAGAATTTAGTTCTCTAAGACAAAAACACAAAAAAAGCGCGTTGAATTATGGGCAGCGTGTGAATCACCTCGCCATGGAGTTTTACGAGTTTATGGTCAAAGGAAAAGTATGCACTATAGAACAAAAACGCACAATATTGGAAACATTAAAAGAGCAGGCGTTACATCACTTCCAATTAGAGTTACGCGAGGAATTAACATTAATCTTACGGTCGCAAAGTTATGCCACACTTCAGGAAGCCATTGCCGAAGCAAGCGCGGAAGAAAAGGCCGCAGGAATAAGATCGAAAAGCCGCGTGCCAACGCAAGCGCGTAGCAATAATAAAAGTTATAAGTATTAGAAATGCGGAAAGATCGGACATTACGGAAGAAAGTGCCGATCGGGCAAGATGGCATTGCCAAAACCAAACAACAGCCGAGTACATGCCATCGAGAAGCAGTATAGTTATTGTAAAAAAACGGGACATGTCAAGCAAAATTGCTGGTCACTGAACGGCAGGAAAAATAAAAAAGGAAGTGCAAAAGCAATACATGCAGCAAAAGATAACAAAAAGAAAAGCCAAAGTGACAATAGCGAGTCATCGACCGACAAAGAAAGCACTGGAAAAAAGAAAAAATCTGTGTTAGTAGCAGAATTGCAGGTAACCCAGCTAAATGCTGCGCAAGCAGTTCTGGGTATAATAACCGTACCGATGAGAGAAGCAAAGAAAGGCGAAGCAGAATTACTTAACGACACTGGAGCCACAGTGTCCTTGATTTAAAAAATACTTAAAAGAGAGAACGCCAGCCAAAAAACAAAAATGAAATTGATAGGCGGTACAGAGCATCAGGCATGCGTCATGGGAAAAATCGTAGCCACCATACAGCTGAAAGATAGAGAAAGTAAGCACCCGATCTACGTGGTGAAAAACGATTTTCCAATCAACTACCAAGGCATCTTGGAAAATGACTTAATTAAAAAGCAGAACGCCAAGCACAATTACAAAGCGGGGAAACTTTCACTTGGAAAAAATACGTTGCGGTTACGCCCGTTTAAGACTATAGAGTTACCACCCCAAAGCAAACCTATCCTACAAGCAATAACGGACAGTAACCAAATCGGCATCGTGCAGGCAGAAAAACCGCTACCAGAAGTATTTATAGGAAGCTGCCTGATGCGGCCGAGTAAAAATTTCTGTCCCATAAGCGTAGTAAATACTACAGAAAAAATAATAAAAATAAGCACTCCGCGCTTTAAGTTGGAGATGTTAGAAGAAAAAAACGAGGCAAAAAGTAAAGTAGCGAACGTAAGCATAAAAGCAGAGAAGCCAGCACGTCGCGAAAAAGTGAAAGAAGCACTGCGAGTGAAACACTTAAATAAAGAAAAGAGAGAAGCATTAAACGGGATATGTGAAGAATATCAAGATGTATTTCACTTTGCAAGAGAGCCGTTAACTAAAACAAGCGCGGTAAAGCATAAAATACTTGTGAAAACTGATACCGCTCCGATAAACGTTAAGCCGTATAGATTACCGCAGAAGCATAAGCAAAAAGTAGAGAAACAGATTAAGGAAATGCTGGAAAGCGGAATAATACACGATAGTGAAAGTCAGTTCACTGAACGCAACTTTACTGGTTGTTCCAAAAAAATGGACGCGTCCGGCGTGAGAAAATTAAGAATGATAGTAAACTTTCGGCGATTAAATGAAGTAACAATAGACGATTCTTTCCTGGTGCCGAATATTGTAGAAATATTAGATTAATTAAAAAATGCGAAATATTTTTCGGCGTTGGATTTAGCATCTGGGTACCATCAAATACCGATGGGTGAAAACGACAGGCGCAAAACGACGTTTTCAACGCCGCATGGCCACTATGAGTACAACAGAATGCCTTTTGGCTTAAAAAATGCGCCGGCGATGTTTCAGAGATTGATGAACTCAATCCTGATAGGATTACAAGGCATAACATGTTTTGTGTACCTCGAAGACATCGTGATATACGGTGCGAGCTTGCAAGAGCACAGCAAGCGGTTACGAGAAGTTCTTGACAGATTACGAAAGTACAACTTGAAGTTGCAGCCGGATAATTGCGAATTTTTTTGCAAAGAAGTCACATATTTAGGACATATGATAACCGAATAGGGGATATCACCGGCTCAAAAATAGAGGCAGTCAAGGGATTTCCAGTTCCGAAGAAAGCAAAAAATATCCAAGCATTCATAAGTTTGGCAGGGTATTCCAGAAAGTTCATAGGCCAGTTCTCAAAGATAGCAAAGCCGTTGACACAATTGTTGCAAAAAGAAGTAACGTTTAAGTAGGGTCCCGAGCAACAACGAGCGTTTGAGAATTTAAAATAAAAATTAGTAAACGTACCGTTGCTTGCGTATCCCGACTTCGATAAAAAGTTCGTTGTCACAATCGACTCGTCGAGTTACGCGATCGGCGCGGTGCTATCGCAAGGTGCGGTAAGTCAGGACCGGCCGATTGCATACGCAAGCGGAGTGCTGAATAAAGCAGAGCGCAACTACAGCACGACAGAAAAGAAGCTACTTGTGGTGGCGACTGAAGCTCGAAGAATGTGACTACGAGATCGTGCACAAAAAGAGAAAAGCGAATACCAACGCAGACGCGCTGAGTAGAATCCCCGCGGAAGCATGCACGTGCGAAGCGAAGAAGAGCGAGAAAGCAGAAGAAAAGAGCGAGAAGCGAGAACTCACCGAGGAAGAAAAGAAACAGATACTGTACGAGTATCATGATTCACCGGTGGGCGCGCATCAAAGAATAGCCCGTACGATAAAAAGAATAAGAATGAAGTACGATTGGCCTAAGCTACCGAGCGACGTAGAGAATTACATTGCAAAGTTCGAGTCTTGTCAGAAGAATAAGTTGTCGTAAAAAATAAAAGTACCATCGGTAATAACCGACACGCCGGAAAAACCTTTTGAAAAATGCGCGCTTGACATTGTCGGTCTGTTGCCGGTGACAAGTAACGGAAATAAGTATTTGCTAATCTTTCAGGATAGCCTCACGAAGTTCACTAAGACGGTACCCGTTCCGAACCAAGAAACCGCGACGATAGCGAAAGAATTTGCGACAAAAATTGTATGCGAGCACGGGGTACCGGAAACACTTTTAACCGATAGAGGTACTAATTTTGTTAGCGAATTGTTCAAAAACGTTTGCAAACTATTCTGGATAAATAGAATACAAACGACGGCTTATCATCCGGAAAGTAACGGCGCGTTGGAACAATCACACCGAACGCTAGCCAAATATATACGCCATTATGTAAACGAAAATCAGACGGATTTGGACGAGTGGATGCCGTACGCAATGTTCGCGTATAATACGACGCCGCACACAGCAACGAGCTTTACACCCTTTGAGTTGGTGTACGGGAAATGCGCGGAGTTGCCAACCGCGTTAACTAAACTACCGTCAACGCAATATAGTCTCGAAAATTACGCGCAGGAAAAGAAAGACTACGAGCAACAAATCGCGTAGCGCGAGAAAAACTCAGAGAAGAAAAAAAAAGCGAAACGTTATTATGACCAAAAGACAAAGCAAGCAGCGTTCAGCGTAGGGGAAAAAGTCTTACTGTATGACGAAACACTGAAAAGAGGCAGGTCAAAAAAGCTAGAGTCAAAGTAGATAGGACCTTACGTAGTAGTCGCAAAGGTGACAGACGTGACATATGCAATCAAGGCGGGACGGCGCACGCAGAATGTGCACGTCAACAGGCTGAAAGCTTTTATAGAAAATTAAAAAGGTAATAGTCACTTACCATCACTCAGAATCGGAGAGGGTGATGAGAGGCGGTTAGACGCGAGGTGGAGGCCCCAGACAAATCACCTCCTCGTGGTCCTCGTCGTCCTAAGGATGGTCAGCTAGAGGCCCCAGACAAATTACCTCCTCGTGGTCCTCGTCGTCCTGAGAGTGGTCAACTGAAGGTTCCAAGTCCGGCGAGGCGGGTGGCGGAAGCCGCGAGCACAGGAACATCACTTTCGGAGATGGCAGTGGTCCCTCGGGCGTGCGGGGCGTCGCACAGTGGTCCGGTTCGGAGAAAAAAGCGCGTATGAGACAAAAATACTTTTGATAAAAAATCATATTATTATTATGATTTTCAGCAAATAAACATTTTAGATTTTGAAAAACTGATATTTAAAAGCGACAAAGTCACTTTCCCTGTTGAATAACATTGGTCCGCTTTTTTAATCAGTCGCGTGCCGCAAGTCACTGATGATGCGGACAGAGATACGGAAGACATTTAAAGTGTTTACAACAAGTGTTTACATAGTTGTTTAATATGTCATTGAACGATGAAGGTAAGTGCTTTATTTTATTCTAAAACAATTGATAATTTTTGTTATGTAAGTTTAAATATAAAATATAAACAATTTTTTTAACGCTTGCTTTGTAACTTATAATTTTTAAAAATTGTAAAACTTTTGAGGTTTACGTTGGATTATAATAGTTCAAATTTTAGATTTTATTTTGAGTCTTATTAAGTTTATCGCCACTAATAGTAGCCGCTGCTTTGCGCAGCCTTCGGCGTAATAAAGTTTCAAATGCATGCAATGATTAGAGGAGCACGAGCGCGCGCGTCATGCTTTTTTGAGGTTATCCCGTCGCGTCGTGATACACTGCATTTCGCATTATATCAAATGTAGTTTTCAATATTACACTAAATAGAATTTACACTGTCACAATTTTATTCTTTAATATTTTTTATTATTTTAATTTTTAATAGTTTTTAATATTTACATAAATATAAATAAACACCAATATAACTTTTTTTGTATGTTGTATTTGGCATTTTCATAAATACGTACCATGTTTGTTCACAATTGATTTCTCAAGGCGTTTTTTGTACCAGACGTTTTTACTATCTAAAAGTTTTGCTGAGAGTATTAAAAAAATAGAAAATTATATTGTAAATAATCTCGGAAAAATACTTGACGATACTGACATTCTAAGTTTTGTAAAAAAATTGGAAGAGTAAGTGGCTTCAGTGTCACCGAATTTGTAGAACGTTCGAGGCAAAACATAAGGATTGGCTTGACGTGTCAGTCATAAAAAATGCATCTCCTACAGTAGAAGTATCTCGAGGCAAAAAATTAATCAAAGATTTTAACTCCTTCAGTAATTCCCAAAAACGACAGAGAACCAGTAGTATGAATTATATATTATTTGTTTTGTTTCTTAACATTGTAAGTTGCTTAAACTAAGTAAAGCTTTATTTGAAGTATAGAATGTGTGTGTTAAACATTTTTGTTTACTCTTAGAGAGTTTATATATATATTTTAAAATTGTACAAATTGCTCCAAATAGCTAAAGCTCTGATTTTGATTGCTTATTGCATGTTTAACATGACTTATTATATTCTCGTAATGTTTGAAATGTTGCAATATACAAGTTTTAACTTTTACTACTTGAATGAATAAATAAATGAATGAATGAATGAATATGATTTATACCCTGTTCCTGTCTTCTCCAGGCTATCATTAAACACTCTCCCTTCTGAGTTTATTTTCTTGTCCTTTGACTTTCTCCCTTCCCTTTCATTATCCATTTCTTCTTCTTTCACTTCCTCCTTATTTTCTCCAGTTCTCGCATTAAAATCTCTTACAATCGTTATCACTTCTTTGTCTTTTTCCATTCATTTTCTGATCTCTTCCAACTTTTTCTCCACCCTCTCATTCATATATACCCTTACTATTCTTTGCCATACCTCTCCAATTTTTATCCTCTTCACCAATGTTCCTTCCCTTTCCGTCCACTCCTTCTCTCCCTTCCACTTCACCCCCTTCCTTATACATTAATATTCCTCCTATCACTCTTCCTTTCTTGTTCTTCCTTCCTGCCCATTGTTTTTCTTATATATCCTTTTGGTAACTTATATTCAATTTTTCTTCATCCTTTTTCTCTCATCCTCATTCCACGTTTCCGTGAACACCATTACATTTTCTTAAACCTATCCAGAATTCTTTATCCTTATTTCCTAAACCTGCCACATTCCAGAAGGCCACCTTGCAATATTTTTCTCTTCGTTTTCTCCTTATTTCTATTTTCTTCTTTGCTTCCTCTTTTTCTTCTTTTTCTTCTATATTTTCTCTTATTCCCTTTCTATCTCCTTCTTTCTCCCATTTATCTCTTTCCCCGACTCTCTCCTCATCTCCGCCTGCCCTACTTTTCTCGAGTACCCAATCTTTTCCGTTACCCTCTGCTCTTCATTCCATTTCCACTATTCTTCTTCTATTCTTAGTTTATCTCCTTTCACCCACGCACTCTTCCCCTTCCTTTTTTTTCCATTGCCATCTTACTCAGCTTCCTTCTTATTTCTCTTTCCTTTCAGGTCAAATCTTGTTCGATCCATACTTTTCTGCCTTTTAGATTCCTCTTTTTCTCCCATATTAATTTTTTATATCTTCTTTCTTTTCTATTCTCATCCACACCATTTCCCCCTGCCTCCCCTCTCCACACTCAGTCTTCTAATTTCTTCTATCCTTACTTCTGCCCTTATCTCTTCCATTAATTTTTCTATCTCCAGTCCTTTTTTTCTTTTTGTACCCCTTTTATTATTAGGTTCCTCTTTCTTCTTTCCTCTCTCTCTCTCTTTCCACTCCATATTTTTCTGTGGTATTTTTATTCTTTCCATCAAGTTCTTCTCTTCCTCTCCTTCTTTCTTTTCTTTACTCTTTTTTTCTATTTCTTTCACTTCTACTTTTTTCTCCAGCTCTCTTACTCTTTCCTTTATTTTCTTCTTTTCTCCTCTGAATTTCTTTTTCCTCTTTTTCCAATCTTTCAACTCCTACTTCATTTTCTTAACCCTTTCTATATATAATTTCATCTCCTTTCTTGGCTTATCTAATTCCTCCCATATCTCTCCTCCTCTCTCTTCCTCCCTGTCCTGTTTATCTCCTTTCTCCCTTTTATCTTCCTTTCCCTTTGAAGATCTCACTGTCTTCCTGCTCTTCGTGAATATCTATTCCTTTTCCTCTTCCTTTCCTTCTTCTCTCTCTCTTCCTCTTCATCTACATATCTAATTAGGATGCATAGCTCTCGCTTCCCGATCTCTCTCTCCTTCTTCCCCCAGACTCTTTCAGTCTCCTCTCCATCTTTTTTCGTCTCCTTTTGCCTTTTCTCTTCTCTATTACCATTCTAAGATTTAAAATCTGACCGCCTTAAGGAAATCCCTAGAGGCCTTTCCTGTTCTTGCATCTTCTGTACTTACTATCTTTAATACTCTTTATCCTTTTTTATCTTTTCCCGCTCTAACTTCCTAACTACCCGCCGCTCTTTGACCTTTTTTTCAACCTTCTCACGTCTACCCTCACCTCCATTCACACACTCACCTTCAACAGACTCTCTCGCTCATTCACACATTTTACCCTCGCACTCCGCTGACTATATCTTAACAAAACACACTGCTTTTATTTCCACACTCTTATACACATCTGTCTTGCTCGCTGACGGAAACGGAAAGTCAACTTATAATACTTATTTTGTAACTATTATTTATTAACTATTTTGTATACTAACGTTAGTAATATTTTTTGGATAAATGTGTTTGTTACGTTCTTGCCCATGGATACGGTCGGGCTGTAGTGTGACGCACCAGTAAACGCGTCGTTTTCCATATCTCTCTCTACAGTAGACACGGAAGTCCTGCTGTGAGAGAGTCGAGCGAGTTTGTTTATATTCGTCAAAAGGTCAACGGCGTACGCCGATCTTACTCTGTCTAGCGAACACTCACTTGTTGGTCTTTTTTTAGGTCTGAGACGCAAATCTCATTTACCAAGAACGGGACCTAGCGATTTTAATGAGAAAGTGAGAGTAAGTAATACGGAGAGAAAGATAACAAAAAATAATTCTTTAGTTTGATTCCACACATTATAAAGTAGTTATATTTATAAAAAAAGACAAATCGAAATCTTAGCAAATTACTAACATACAGGTGTGTTAAAACTAATACAATGACGGAGCGCATAATCGTTTCGTACAAAGTAATCTATAAGCTAGGGTGCAAGTGTGAAAGAGAGAGAGAATACGAGTTGTTTAATGCAGCCAGTCTCTTTAACCCATGTTTAAGCAACTTAGATCATCTTAGGAATGTATTTTCTTATGTCAGTTGACAAATTCGGTTTTGTTTCATTTCTTAGGTTCCGATAGATTTAATGATAGAAATAAATTTGAATGTGTCATGATTTTAACACTGATATTCGAAGATGAGCGGGTTTGATTTGTTTCCGTGATTTAGGAAGGAAAAAGAAATAATTCGGACGCTATTCACGACTGGAGTCGCGAACTGCTCTCCCGGCGAGGGTGGTCAAACAAGGAGTTGACTTCTCGGTTGGACGCTATTCACGATTGGAGTCGCGAACTGCTCTCCCGGCGAGGGTGGTCAAAAGGAGTTGGTTTCTCGGTCGGACGCTATTCACAATTGGAGTCGCAAACTGCTCTCCCGGCGAGAGTGGTCAAAAGGAGTTGGTTGCGGAGAAACA